ATTGGTATCATCTTAAAGCCTGTTCATTTACCTTCTTTTGGAGGAAAATTATCCATCTATATTGGATAGAAGTCGAAATATTTGCGATTGTAGGAAGTTAGGGTCGCCTGGTTTCAGAGGTGAAATTAGAGAGAAACTGTCAGCGACGTTTGGTAATTTCCATTCCGCCAGAGTCCTTGGAAACTGAAAATCGACATTTTTTGTATCGCTTTAATCAATGTTTCCCCTGTAAAATCCTCATAGAAATATATTTTAAATGGATATATAAGGTGTTGATTCCCCCCCCCCCCAAAAAAAAAGCTCGACGGTCAGGAACATTTTAATTTCTTTGATTTCACTACTTTGACGAGCGCCTGATTGCACCACGATGCCTCACAAATATCAATTATTGTAGATTCCTAATAGGTGGTATTGTTGCATAATTATACTACTGAAACATTAATATAATCTCAAATTCATTATGGTTAAAAAAAAACCAGCGAAAAAAGATAAATAACTTGGGTACGGTGCGTACTATGTAAAAGAATTGAAACCTAAAAAAAAATTCTTTCTGGGCTTCGGACATTTGAACAGTTTGCCTCCGGTAATATCTTGTAATAATTTTATATATCCTCATATAACAATTTGCATCTTAACTTATAAAGAGCAAATCTTAATAGACTATTTTGTTCTGTCACTCTGGTCTCTGCCTAACACACGGAAGTTATTTCCGGCAGGATATCATCCCTTACTCTTTGGGGTTTGTGGGCCTCGTTGTGTATCTGGAATACTTTTTTTGTTTTAACAGTATTTGTTAGACTGCATACAGATGACCCAAGTAAGTCGCTTGAAATCTATTAAAACTATTTTTTGTTGTTGGAGGTACGACTTCCTCCTACCCTTCACCCCCTGTCCCCTGTCCGCCACCACCCTCAAACCGAAAAAAACCCCGTTTATAGACGATTGAATAACGATTATATGACGTTCTCTAACCTCTTGTGTTTAGCGTGTTTTGGTGAGAACATACTTCAGTACTTGCGTGATCAGAAAACGAGTCCAAGGTTATCACCGTCTTGCGCCATGTAGAAACAAAAACACACCTTCCATTTAGGGCATGAGAATTTGACATAAAGCGTGAAAACAGTAAATGAGTAATAAATGAAAATGTAGAAAATTACCTCTTTGCACGTGACCTTCGTGACTCGATATACATTCAAATATAAATAGTTCATCAAGCCTATTGTAAATATTTTTAGCAGTTTATTGTTATTCTTATTATGGCTTATTAAGCATTTTGTTTGCTGATGTTATGGGGAAGAAAGTTGGTTCTCAATGTATTGCCACCTTGCGTCATGTTAACAGCTTTCCGACGATATCATTTTTGAGGCAGCGTGGTGAAATCAGGCGCTCGTCAAAACAATGACATGAAAAATGGCATTTTTCTGGGCGATATGCATTTTTTTTTACAGTTATTTCTTTTTTGGCTCAACACTTTTTGTGTTCTTTTAAGAATGCATTGTTTAATATGTGTTACCGAAAAACGTTAATTAAAGGCACGAAAAATGTAAATTTCCAGTTTTCAAGGTCTCTCAAGCTTTGGAAGTCACCAAATCTTGGCCGCCTTTTCTTCGCTAGTTTTACCAGAGAGGTTTTACTTTTCATACCAGATGACCCCCACCACATTCAATCGCAAATATCACAACTTCAATTCAAAGTAGAGGCGTATTTTTTTCGCTAAATGCAAGACAAATGAACATGATATTTAACACGGTATTAATAACCATAATCTAAAGAATTGATGAGCGTCAGGTTCCACGGCGTCGTGACAAATTATAACAATTTCCTTCTGACATATACCTTGTCATACCTAGCAAATCAATCAATCAATCAATCAATCAATCAATCAATCAATCAATCAATCAATCAATCAATCAATCAATCAATCAATCAATCAATCCACCGATATTGTGTTTAATCATTCGGGTCTCTGCCTTATACACTGAAGCCATTTCCTACTGGACACCTTTACCTCAACGACACGAGACCGGAACATAATATAAAGAGGTCTAAGTGGCAAAAAGACAGAGGAAATAACCAACTCACAAGCTGCTCTATTGTTCTATTGTTTTATTGTTTGCTTGTTTGCTTGCTTATTTCAGCAAGGAGAAGCACATCGACACAATGCTGGTCATTTAGTGCAGGGAAAAAGTTAGACCTCCTGAAACAAACAGCAGAAGCAAAATAAAAAAAGGAGTAGGCCTACCAGATTCATGGCATGGCACCCTCCAACCACTCAACAATGTTTGTCTTGGATAAATTTAGAAACAAAAACTCTTTTAAAACTACCTTTAATCTTCTTTTCTTAAAAAAACAATCAACTCTTTAAACCCCTTCACTGTCATCCGTATTTGAACTTTGTATAGACTAGATTAAAGACTATCACTTGCATAGAAACATTATTCTTCTACAAAGATTCTCAAAGGGAGTACAACCCCCCCCCCCCCCCCCAATAATTCATTAATGCCTAAGTCAATACATTGATGCTACAATGTAATTCCCCAAACATTGCCTCCCAGTGGATTTTAGTGTCAGGTGACATGGATTACAGAGATAAGTTTGCAGTTTCGTTCCGTTTCTAAACACCGGAGAAGACAGGATCTAAAAAAGGGGAGCAAAGTACCTTAGATTAGAATACATTTTATAGAAATACTTTGAGTTTGTTCTCTTGATTCCTTTATAGCTGCACAAGATCTTTGCAACATTCTTTTTTCAGCCGTTGCCTTCTTTCTGACCTGAATTTGATTTAGGATATGTCTTTTAAGACATAAAAACTTTTTATTTGGTTTACCTCACCAGGGTGTAAGTGGTTTTAGTTAGTTAGTTGTTTTTCTTTTCTTTTAAGATTGGTAAGTTATTTAGTAGCATAACCAACAAACTTGTGCTTGATTTTCTAGATTTTTCAGTTTATTTATTGATATTAGCCATGATCCTTTCCAGCTGCCCCACAGTCAGGTAATGCTTTTGTCACTATGTTAGTGTTTTAGGGCTTATAAAATGGCAGCTTGCTCTGTATGCTCCCCAGAAAGTTGAGATTTTTTTTAAAGCCATCAGGTCTGCAGAGGTAATTGTATAAATTGTAAAGCGCAAAGAATTTTCTGTTGAGCGGGAATTGGGCTACACACATTTTAAATGCTATCTAGAATTAAAATAATAATAATAATAATAATAATTATTATTATTAATTTTATTATTATTATTATTATTATTATTATTATTATTATTATTATTATTATTATTATTATTATTATCATTATCATTATTATTACAAAATACAGACCCGAAGCCCAAGATAAAACGTTTGTACCGGTACCTGATTCATTGCGGTAGGACCACTGGGTAGACAAATTGCTGGTATATGCGCCTTCAGGAACTCCGTCCTGGGCAGCAGGTCTGTTTGCATGTATCCCAATAGATTAACTGGACCCAACACGACTCATTGCGACATATAAATGTCAATGTGAAAAAATCGCCCGGTAAAGAAACCCCTATCCTTTTCAAAGTCTGTCCCTGAGCTTTGTAGGTCTAAACGGAAATTGTTTCCGTCGCATATGGAAGGGAAATATGTTGTCTGAAGGCATGAGGGGAATCCTTGGGATGAAAAGTCTCTTTCCGGCAGTGAACCGCAATCAACAACAGCATCACTTACATGTTGATGAAGGTGTTGAACCACATATCGAGTCCCGTTGCAGTGGCTGTGGGATCCAAATTTCTCTACAACATGACAATGTCAGTTTGTGGGGCGGCATACCTGACGGACATAGAGAATTGATAAATTCAATGGGGCATTGGTGTTCATTTTCTTCCACCGATCCACTGCTTCTATAGACGTTTTCTTCTCCGGGAAAGGACTGCGTGATCAGGTTGTTGATTCTGTCTACTTCTGTGTTGGTGGGACAGATTATGATGCTGCGGGACGCCAACCAGTCAGGAATTGTGTTAGACTGCAAGTTACCGAAGACAAAATCTATCAACTTTCGTTCGCTGTTCACTGTGATGTCATCTGGCAGTCTTATCGCAAACTCCCCGATTAGCTTGCATACGTTGTGTTTGCCATCACCAATGTTCAGTAGATAGTGAGAGAAATCAGCAGTCTCACCTGTAAGCAAAACCCTCATGTTTCTTGTCAGTCTGAGCACATTAACATGCTCCCACAGCATTGACTATCTGTGATCTTGAGCCATGGCGAACTACTGGTAGTATTTTGCGCCAGTCACCCGACATCTGCACAGTTAGCCCACAGAACAGAGAGTTATTACCACATAGGTCTTTAAGTGTTCGGTCTATGGCTTCAAAGATGTGTTTGTGGCCCATCGATACTTCATCATGTGCTGAAGAATGAACACTTGGTTCTCAATCTGTGGATTCAACTCTGTGACTTTGTCTGTCATCATGATGCCACGTCACAGTTCCAATTTGTGCTTGTGTCAAAATGAGAGAGGATCAGCTGGGCGACAATAAATGAGAATGGTTGTAAAGGCAAGACGTAACTGGGGTCCATATCTTATGGAAAATGCTTCTTGCATAGCTGCATCCTTCTCAGTGTCATCATCGAGCAGTCCAAGTTGGTTGCATGCGTCTTGATAAAATGTGCAAGATGAAGCACAATATGAAATGGAAGTAGTCCTCAGTAAAAAAAAGAAACAACTTATATTCCGTAGGCCAACAAAAGCAGCTGAAATAGGACTATGTGGCATGCACACACAACAAAACACAAACGGCACTTCTGTTCTTCCTAACTACTGCAAAAAAGTACACGTCTGTCGCACACACACGACAAAACACAAACCGCACTTGTGTCCGTGTTAACTACTCCAAGAAAGTAGAACTCTGAGGCACACACACGACAAAGCACACATCGCACTTCTGTTTTTGCGAACTACTTACACGCACGACGAAGCACATTATGAGACGGAAATAGTCCCCAGTAAAATATGAAATGGCTAATGGCAGCGTGAAAACATACGAGAGCTTCGATGTACAGGAAAAAACATCAGGTCTGAGAATTCAAAAGGTAGTTTCCGAACTTTGAAAATATGCCCACGTAACCCTTTGGGTTAATTCTTGTCTGAATCATATTTTTCTAGATTTTATTGGCACCAGTGTAAAAAGTTTTTATAGACCCCTCAAATGAGCTTAGCTCCATTGTAATAAGATTTTGACATTGTTTGTTTTTTACTTGTGCCATGACAAGGGATTTTTCATAGTCTGCATGTTTTGATGTCCAGAGGACAAAGGCCCCCTACAGCGCCAAGATATTGGCCCCCTACTGTCTTGTTTTGCGCTTTGATTCGTTACTATTAGCTTATGAGCATCGTAAAATGGCGCCCAAGAAGCCTTCTCTTTCTTTTATTTTCCCTAAATCCATGCTTACCAATTTCATAAAGTTCACCCCGTTCATTTGCTTTGTTTTTAATAATCAAGAATTTTCCTTCTTGAAATTACATTTCGGCTGCTTGATAATCATCATATAAACTATTTCTTCTACTCTTCTTGATTGTCCGCAAACACCTTGATACTATTCATGATCGTAGGGTGTCGAGTTTCACTGTCGGCATTCTAAGGCGAATTGCGTTATAATCTTTGGAGACTGGAAAAGTGGTTTTAGCCGACCATGGACAACAATATCTCAGATCTAGCCCATTTTGCCATTCAGTTGCATATAACGAAGGGATTGTCGATTTTCACCTATGCACTGAACCCTGAGAAATTATAATATTCTAGTTGAAAGAGCCGCGGAGTTTGTCTACCGTAGAAAAAAATACTGCTTGTCTCCTCGACACACAACGCCAATAGAGGATGAAAAAGTAAAGAATGCAAAGGTTTTCAAAATGATCATACATTGCTGGCGATGAAATATCCAGTATTGGAATAAATCCTCTTCAGTTTGACTTTCTGGCATGCATTTTTATAAACATTTAGAGTCAATGTCATGACCATAACATGACTCCGGGTAGGCAATAGCTTTCTTTACATACAAAATACAAGATAGAGATTGGACATAGTAAAACGCTGTCAAACTCAGACTTAGCCATCAGCCTGCTGCCGCATGCATGAGGGCCTGAGTTCGATTCCAAAGAGGTAAATTTGTAAAAATCTAGTTCTCGGTCTTTCTGCATGGGAGTTGTAACTCTCTCTCTCTGCTCGTGTTGGCCGTTACGGGCAGGGTCGGATGTCCACCTCCTTGATGTTGCAAATTGTGTCGAAGGGGCTGTAAAGTACACCTGTCTAAAAACGATATAGTCAGAGCCAGTCATTCAAACTCACGTCTATTAGAGTTAAAGTGACTTTGGGTAATCATGCGTTTTGCGAATAGTTTTTTTATATACCAGAAAGTGATTTGACATAGTGAAACGCCGTCAAATTTAAAGTATTTATCAGTTTGTTGGTATTTTCGCGTTGCTTGTACTGTATGCTTTTCGGGAAGCCAAGAATGTGCATGGGTTAACTAGGGTCTGCATTGATAATAGTTAGACATCGTGGTAAAATCGCCATACAATGAAATCAAAGAAATCCGTATTTTTAGGGCCGTTGGGTAATTTTACAAAAGAATTCTTTTTTTGAAATGTTTTTAGATGAACATCTTTAATGTCCATTTAAAACACATTTACGTGTGGATTTCACTGATAAACGTTGATCAAAGGCACACAAAATGTAAATTTGTAGTTTTCAAAGGCTCTCAAGCTTTGGAAGTCACCAAACTTTGGCGGCCATTTTCTCTGAAACCAGACGCCCCACACCTCCTTCAATTGCAAATATCTCGACTTAAATTCAAGAGATGGGTACTTTTTTTTCCAACGACAGTGTTAGGCACATAGAGCTTGCTACAAAGCGAGAACATGCGTTACACAAATTCTATTTATTATTATTATTATTATTATTATTATTATTATTATTATTATTATTATTAATATTATTATTATTATTATTATTATTATTATTATTATTATTATTATTACTATTATTATTATCACCATTATCATAATTACTGTTGTTGTTGTTGTTGTTGTTGTTGTTGTTGTTGTTGTTGTTGTTGTTGTTGTTGTTGTTGTTAATACTATTATTATCAGCATTATCGGGAAAGTATTAATATTTAATATTGAGTCCACATACCCAACTCTGCGCGTCCACGGGTGGTGGATAGGGGAAATGCCTCCTGATATGAAGGTTAGCTGATGAGCAGTCACGCACCAAATATGAGACGACCGTGGGGAGTAGAGGAGAACCCTGGTGGCGCCGGTGATTCAAAGCTGAAAAGCAAATGAACAAACTTTTTGGACCCGGGGCATATCAAAGCTAATGGAATAGAGAAGGCAGACAAAATCAAAAGTGGAAAGGTATAATAAAGAAAAAAAACAAACCCCAACGCAAAACAAGATAATATGGGATAAATGATATGTGCTGAAAATAGAGAAGAATCAAAACAAAGATAGCAAACGCATGCATTCCAAAATTTAAAAAAGTAAGAGGGATAAAAGGATGTTCAAACACAGGTTACATAACATCAAAAGGAGGAGATATTCTATTGGACAAAGGGAGTACAATCTTAAACAGAAGGCGAACATTTGAATAACGCCTGAAAAGCCAAAGACATATTTTTATAGCAAAATCGGAAAAGGACCTTCGATCGCTTCTAGATACTGTTGTAACGGAAAGTGAACGTAAAGGGTTATTGTTGGGTGTGAAGAAAATAGAATATATAGTGATATCTAAAAAAGCAGTAAAACATATTTGTAATCTCATTAGCAGAAATGTAAAAATCAAACAAGTTCAACACTTTAAGTATCTAGGATATATTGTTATTACATCTGGTGCCAAATATCGCACTGAAATAAAGTGAAGAATTGCAATGGCTCACGACAGTTTCAATAAACTGAACCCAATCCTGACAAATAGAAACTTCTCAAAGAATACCAAACTGAAAACTCTGAAATATCATGTATGGTCTACCCTTCTATATGCCTGAGAATGCTGGGCAATTACTAAAGACAGTGAAAATAAACAGAAGCAACAGAAATAGAATTCTTGCTGGAAATATCTTGGAAGGAAAAGATATCCTATGAGGTAGTACTTGAAGAAGCTCAAGTGAACCTTTCGTTAATAAAAACTCATTATTGTTATTATCTTCATTGTTTTCATTATTATTATTATTATTATTATTATTATTATTATTATTATTATTATTATTATTATTATTATTATTATTATTATTATTATTATTATTATTATACTATCATCTTTCCAACCAGCCATCCTGTGCACTGGTATCCAGGTGACCAGTGTAGTGGTGATGACGTACACCAGTTTCACCCTGACGGAGCAGCAGAAGAATGACCTGATGGACCGCTCCCAAAGCCTCACGGGAGTCTCAGACATACACCTAGAGCAGGCACCGAGGTCTTCAGGCTCTTTTCTTTGGGAGATTCCAGCCTCTCTCATCCTCGTCTCTGTTGGCTACTGGGAGAACTACCTGGACAAAGACATTAAAATATATAGGTAACGTATTGGTACGAGGCATGTTTTACTAGCAAAGATCAAGCAAATTAATCTTTTCAAGAGAATTATCTGTTTTATCTGCAAACATTAGGCAATTGAATCATAGTAAGAGAACAACGACGTATATGGACCAAGATATCCAAATTGACCTATTAGGGAAACAAATATTGTATTTACATAACAAACTCAATTGACAATGTGCCTTTTCTTTTTGGGGATTATTTCACCAATATATGAGGTTGTACCAACACTTGTAGTGTATTTTGATTAGAAACAACCATAAATTTACTTTTTTTTCGAAGTACTACATTGACTAATATATCGAAATATATTGACCGATACATCGACGTATACAGCAGTAAGTCAGAGTGGGTTCGGGTAACAACATGCAGAAAACGTATTATTGTTAGAGATAAGGAACGCATCCTATTTTTATCGAAATACTTTAACAAAAACCTATGATTTCTATTCTAAACCTGCATTTATTTTAGTTATTGATAACAAATCTATTGTACCATTTTTTAAATAAAAGAAATACCTCGACAAAGAAAAGCGAAGGAAAGGTACCTTTGTCAAGTTAGAAAAATATGACAGTGTTGAGCATACAAAGAGCTTGTTGCTCTCAAGAATGACGTAAATTTTCTGCTTTTGAATTTACCATAATAATATCAAACCAGAGACCGGGGATATATTATTTTTCAAAGGGAAAACAACCCTACAAACGTTTTGCTATAATTTGAATTTCCAAAACAGAGTTTTGATTGAGAAACAATAAGAATAACCTATTCTAGCTGACATGTATACTTTTTAATGCAAAAATTTGTGCTCCGAACGTCACTAATTAGACTACAATGTATTTTGAAAGTGGGCTTCCAAAATGCATATCTGGGCCAATGCATACTGACAGTGCAGCGTCCCAGCAAAAGAAGAACCCCCTCTCCAGAGGTGCTCGATAATAACTTCTCCCCACACAGGAATCGAACTCAAGCTTTCAGTGTGCGACGTCGAAACGTCTACCCGCTACACAACTGATACCGATACACGTATACTGCGATTTACGACATTATAATATGATATGTGATTACTTTGCTCTGCACTAAAAAGTGGGTTGTCAACATGAGTATTTAATCCATCAGTCTAGACTCTTAGCATGCTTTCTGATTCGCTGAATCATCTTTAAATGCTCGACTCCTCTCTCAGTTACTTTGATCCAGATCAGCGACATTCTGTTTCTTTCGACAGGTGCTGTAACATGTATATTCGTACAAATTATATTCAAAGTGGGGGTTAATGAAACCTAGAGGTTAACTACCTCCTACAGAGTTGGTCATTGTAATCACCTGCCACCTATTATCTTTCACCACCACAGCAGCTGTTGTGTTCGTTTGTTGGTGCCCCGCTCTTTGTACAGCCAGCCTCCTTAAATGTAAATATAGGTGTTTTACCTATCGACACTGTTTAGATCATTTAAGAGTCAGGCTTCCAGCCCTGTATTTCAGGGCAAACCAGGGATGAGAGGGATACAACATCCCAGCCGAAAGACCAAAATACTCGATAGAGATTTTTCCCCACTCGAGAGCCGAACTCGGGTTTCACGTGTGCGACAGAGAAACGTCTAACTGCTACACCACAGACGCCAGTAGACTGTATCTCCCCGATCTCTGCTTTGACGCATTATTACACGAAGTTGTAGACCACTATCTGATTTTACCTTTCCTATGTATTATTATTATAGGAGGTCTACCCTTATTTATTCATTTTGTCTCTATTTGGGGGCTCTCGTGGCCTAGATGTTAAGGTGTTGCCCTCTCATTGAAAGGTCCCGGGTTCGAATCCTGGTAGCGACCGAAAAATTTTATTCTCTAAATTTGTCTCCTTTCACCTCCTTTCCTGCTCTCTAGCAATGTTCTGTTGTCTACTTTCATTTCCACTTTCTGCCCCCACCCCCTCACCTCCTTTGCCCCCTCCTCTAAGCTCCTGACTCTTTCTGCAGCCTTTCTACTGCTACTCCTTGGCTCCTCCTTACTGCTGTCTTTCTGCCACACCCCTGATCTTCTGGTAGGAAAGATCTACACCTAGCCTTCTCGGACAAGGGCGAAAAATCTCGGAGGGCCCGTGTGCAAGTTGCGCACGTTAAAGATCCATTGGTGGTCTAAAATCGATAAGAGTAGGCTTCGGCCGCCACCCGGGCAAAATTCAAAATTTCCTACCAACTGAAAATATTAGGTGTGTACCACGCGCTCATATGACCTATGCAGTTGCGAGCGCCGTAAAACACTTTACTAAAACAAACAATGTCTCTATTTTGCTCTGCAGCACAGCTGTGTTAACTTTGTACGTTTCTCTTTGCGTAACCAGGTTTTTTAAATATTTTTTTTTACCCTGTCCAATTCTATCATCTGGCGCTTTTGTGTTTAGTAATAACAACACAATGCGCAGCATTTTGGGTTTTGGAATTAGCTGTTATTGTTAGAGTAAACACACAGGAAATTGTTTTACAAATAAATAAATACATGAGTAAATACTTTAAAAAAAAAAGGTTTCTTCACTTTTATAACGTTTTTTGGTAAGTTACTCATCTAAGTGTTGCCATAGCCCCGACTGGAGATAGCTACCACAACTGGTTAGTAGTTTGTTTAGTTCATGTTAGTCCTACATTCCTCAGCTCTTTGGAGTCACGAGGTGGGCACCCTCTGTCCCGCTCCCTAGTCGAGTCATCTTTACCGTGCCACCGAAGGTTCCGAAAGTTTGCACCAAGTCTCATACTATGGTAGTGACTTTGTTAGTATTAGTATCTAAACTACTGGGCCAAGATGAGTTGGTAGGAGGGAACAGAAAAAGATACAAATTTTGCTTGTATGGGGGGGGGGGGGGGGGGGGGTTGTGTATTTTAGTGTTTGCATCTGTATGTTTGGTCTTTTCTTAATATGTGTGCACTTACGTTGATTTTTGTCGGACACACCCTGTTTAGTATACTTTTATCTCATGGATTGTTTTCAACCGGATTACTTATCGAAAATGATCAGTACCACGACTTGTTGGTTGACCTATTGGACGACTCACCCTTCCGGAGCGAGTGGAGTAATCACAATACAATAAATTCACTTTTCCCGGGGGAAGCCCCCCTACACTTCCTAACTGTACAGCCCTCCCCATTGCATAACCAAGTTACTAGGGACTCCTTCTGCTTATCTCAGAAAGTATACTATTACACTTTGTATCAAGTTCCTTCTTAATTTTTCTCTGTATATTAATTAGCCCGAAGAAGTCTTATGTAAAACCACATTTTGCCTCTTGGATTCTGTTTTTATCTCTCTTTAATACCCAGACCTTATTATTATATAGAACTACTGGCGATGTCCGATCCAAGACCGTCAGTCTTGGGAAATATCAACGACTTAAACACTTTCAGGAAGGATTGAAATTTTGAAATCAGTTCCACTCAGATCAATAAAGTGACTGTTTACAGTTAAAGGTCTACCATTTCCTTTATTGAAAGATTTTAACCAAATATGGAAGGATAAGCAACTACAAATATAACTAAATAGCGTTCGCAAAACCACAATTCTGCCGTCTTATGACGGAAGGACGTACAAGGTAAAGTGCCCTAGCGCAACCTTTTGTTGGGGTGGTTTCTCATAAACCCCTTGCAGTTGCCAAAGGGAAATTTATTTTGTACCTGTCGATTAAAATGTTTGAAAAGTGAGCCTGACAGTACCTGTATAAAAATGGCAAACAAATAAAGATATCAGAGGGGAAATACTATTTGCCTTTTTCGCCCTGTGTGCAACCAGACGCCCTCGGGGCAACAAGTTGATAGACCTTACTTGAAGCAACCAGTCTGCCCGCGCGAAACATTATGTGACTTAACAACCAGTTGTTCAAAGCTACACATGAAATGGATACAAAAAAGAAATTGCACGATTTGGGTGCACTGGACACAACAATGGTATTGAAATGTGACTCTTAGGTCTAGTTTTCAAAATAATCACGTTTTCATATTTTAAAAAGAATAATCACTTTGTGGGACTCCGAACCAGCGGTTACAAAACTTATTTGACCCTTTGTTTCTTGGCTCAGTTGTTCCCCTTGAATTCAAGTTCTGGTATGTTTCTTGTAACTAACCAACAACTCTTGCTGTCATCCCCTCTTAACAGAAAACTTCACGACAGCGCTCAAGCCTCCTCTCTTGAGTATCGGGTAGCCCAAAACACAAGTCACGTGCAGAAACGATAGTTGAAATGTCTTGAGGAAAATATTCCCATTGTTTATCCCTCATAGCTCCATATTCTTGTGACCGTCCAAATGATTACATGCAGCCAGGTTGTACTTCATTGTAAGCAATGGCCAACAATTCCCGTCAACTTTTCTTAATATGCTCCCCCTTACACTGTCAACAATAAAGTTCCATAGCTGGAGCCTTGACCTCAATTCAGCCATACAATCTGGCAGCTCTCAGGTGTCTGAGAATTAAGATCCTTCAGTCCATATCTAATCACATCTATCATATCTGGGGTATTCTTACTTTTACAAATGAATGAAAATCGGGTTCATTGAATTTGATGCTGATGTTGCAATCTGTTTTTTAGGTGTATCATTCACCCTTTTTCAATTCAGTAGGCTAATTTTCACTTTGCTCTTCCGATTTCCGTTATGTTCTTTTCTTACTGGGTGCACTACAGACTGCAGACGTATAGTTGTCCTCTGAATCAAACTGTTGCCGCAGCAAGAGACATTGTTCCCCCCCCCCTCCCCTCTTACAAGGTTTGTGGCACGGGCACTGCAGCATACGACGTGAGGAATCAAACTTTTGTTCTTTCCACTAACTTTGCATCGAAGAAACAGTGAAGGCCTTTTAAAGTTTGATTCTGTTCTCCTTTATGCAGAAGAAGGATATTTTGCAGCAGATACAATACGTAAAACAGAAATTGACAGAATCTGTACACCCAATGATAAGCATAGAATGAAGTAAGTTGTTTTTGATACTGTAATACGGGGTGCCCACTACAAATGGTATCGGCCAATCGGGCGGATCGCCCGACTCTTTACAAACGTGTTTGTTTTCAGTTTCGGGCGACCGAGTCGGGCGATAGAGGGATCCAGTGGTAGTGGGCACCCCGTATAACACTCTGTATGTTGAATAAAAACAATGGTCACCATGAACTATCCATGGCTCATTGACGGTGAGTGGGACTCAGAAGTGAG